ATGGCACTGGCAGGGGGTTGCATCCTAACCAGGCCTTTTCCAGCCAACACAATCAGCGGCAGATACGCACCGGTGCCGATTCATCAGGCATCAGAATGCAAGTGATCGCCGGCGCCCAGACGGCAAGATGCCATTGCAGCAATTAGTTATTATCCAGGGCGGAGATAAAACAACTGGTTGGGATGCAGCCGGCTGCTGCTTGACATCCCGCCATTGATCTGACCTGTCTAACAAGTGCTTAATGAGCCTGGGACGCGACACACCCAGCCTGCCGCTGACACATGCGCGAGTGGCAGGGCGTGCTGGCGCTTTCACAGAAAACTGGCCCTTCCGCTCTCATCCCCAGTCACATTCACTGCCCGGAGCCGAGCAATCTACCTCCCTGTCTGAGGCATCTCAGACACACGGCCGAGCCAGGTTGCTGAGGGTCCCCGGGAGGGTGGATAGCCTGCATCTCGGAGGTGGCTCGTTGGACGTTTTGTCCTCAGGCTGGGCTGAGGCTCCCAAGCAAACGCCCTGGGGCACTGAAACAAAATGCCTCTCTGTCAGAGGGAGGGGGTATTCTGACGGTCAGTCGGTCAGGAATGACCCACTACAAGGAATAGACTAGTGCTCTTGGGGCGAGACAAGAAGTCCCCAGGCCAGGGGACCACCAGCCAGAACCACATGAACCCACAAGATCAGGCCACCAGCCAGACCCCCAAGGGGAACCCACAACAAGGGGCCACCATCCGGACCCACAAGGAGAATCAGAAACAGAAGCCACTGACCAGTACCACGGGAGGAATCTGAGATAGAGGCTGCCTGCCGGTACAGCAGGGAGCATCTAGGAAGGGTGACCAGTTGGGACCACAAGGCACAGAGGGATAGTGGCCACCACAGGAGGACTCTGAAGGAGAGGCCCACCAGACTGCCCCCCGGGTGCAGGTGGGTAATTGCAGACTCTTGAGACTTGACACCCAACAAGCCGCTCAGGTACCACCCAGACCCTGCCTGCTCCCGTTCTCAGCTAGAGTTCCACCGGTGCACAGACACCAGTACAGCGCCACGGGGACTAGCCACAGGGGTGGGCCCACTGCAGACCAGCCGCCGGGACTTAGACCATCCCACCATGCAGACCTGTGCTGGGCAGGCTCCTGGGGCTATGCCCTGGCACTCCCCCCTAGTGCTGCAGGGGCGCAGGGAGCAGACCCTGGTGCCTGTGTGCAGGTGGAAGACGTGCAGAAAAACGGTGCAGAGCCATAGCAGGGAGGAGCCCCAAAGGAAGGCGCGTGACGGTCGTTATCCACAGCCCCCGAACCAGAACAAAACCTTTCCCCTCCTGCCTCAAAGAGCTCGGACTCGGAGAGATGGCTGCATGGAAATAGGAGGGGGCAGAGGGCTTGGGTGGGGACAGCCGTGTCCTGCAGAGCTGTGAAATCTGTGTCCATGCGCGATTTTCGGATTCTGTACCAGGCACGAGTCCCATTCGGGTCTGGCTTGGACTCACGATATTAAAGAAAACTCTGGTAAAACGTCTCTCCATGACAGTGACTGTGAGCAGGGCACCCTAGGACTCCATCCCCCCTCGCACTGCTCCCAAGCCTGTGTGCTCAGGTTAAAAGCATCCACCCCACAAACTTATGCTGGGATCTGAGAGGCAAGCTGGGTTCTTCCTCTCTTATCATTGTTAGTAACATGGGGTCTGGAGGTCAAATTTCATCAGCGCTCCCTGCGAGGCCCGCTGCCTCCGGACGCTGTAACCAGTGACGCCTGTACAAACCCACAAACTAATGATATAACACGGGTGCCCAAGGGACAAAGCCATCGCTCTGGTGTAAATGGGATGCATGAGAGGTGCCCCGTCTGACACAGCCCAGGGAATCAGAAATAACAAACGGATTGGTGTCACTGAGAATCAGTGACTGGAAGCCCTCGTGCCAGGTTTGCAGGGGGGCCGCTCTCAAAGTCCTACCTGTGGTTTGCACGACTGTTCCACACACACTTTCAAACTGCACCTCAGCAGGGCAGAGTGAGCAGAATCGGTCTTGGGAATTGGGATGTCCTCAGGTGCAAGCAGTCACAGAGCTCCAACCACGACAGAAAAGGCAAGCACACGAGCATTGCTAGGACATGGTGGCGGTGGCAGGCTTAGTGCTCAGGGATCCGTTCTTTGTTTCTGAACGACTGAGGAGGGAGATCAGAGAGGAGACTCCACCTCACCAGCTACGCTGTGTAGGGTCTGAAAACTTGGAGTGTGTCCCTGGTCCTGTGCTCTTGGCCAGCCTTTCCCCTGGTCTGGAGAACACACTGTGCCGGGATCTATAGACGTTAGTGTCAGGCAGTGATGCACCTCCCAGCAGGGTGTCATACACAAATCATACACCACATCTCCCAGGGACCTGGGAATGTCAGGCACTTGAATTCACTGGTGTGAGATCCATGGTGTTTTGCCACGTCTCCCGTCCCCATCTCCTCCCCAAAACAGCCAAACTCTAGAATATTATTCAGCACTTAGAGCGCTGCCGGAACCTGGGACACAACTGGGAAACCAAAGAAAAGGTGTCTCCTAGCGCACAGAAGCATTGAGAGGCACGTTCGGAGGCTCTGTTCCAACCAGAGACAGAAGCTACTGTCATGATACCATCATAAACGGGGCGGGCCCAGCTCTCGGGGTCAGTGGGTGAGGTCGTACACTCAGCTCACTCGCTGGAAATCACCCAGGAGGAAGCCAGGCCCGGTGCTGTATTTTGACAAAGAACTGTCTCAGACACTTGCCATTCGGAAGCCAATCTCCCAAAGCTACTGCACCCCGCTGGGACCAGACCCTTTTGCCTACAATGGTTCTGATTTCTGAAGCCACTGAGGAATTCTCAAGCAGGCGTGCAGCACATACGCCCGGGAGGGTTTTCAGTCGCTCCTGAGTGACCTGAGCAGAAGTACCACCTACCTGTTGCATCCAAACCATCCTGTATTCAGAGCACACGCAGACGCCTATGGCGGCCGACAGATACCACACACACATGCTGACGCACTCGCTTATTGCGGGGCACGTGCAAATCTGGCAGTTCGATCAGTGCAGGCACTTTTCAGACACGTCAGTGCTGTGCGAGCTTCAACGGTTTCTCTGAAAAGTGAAACACACTGAAATGTGGCAGAAACTTGTAGGCAGTTTAAAATGAATCCCAAAGGCCGAGGCAAACGGGGACTGAGCGCTCAGACGACTGAGTCCGGGCACAACCAAGGCAGGCTATTTTCGCAAAGCCACAAAAGCCACTTGCCCACTTTGAGAGGAACTTTCCTGCCTTCGTGGCTGCCAGTGCAGTTTCCACAGCTATCGTCTATTCTCCCACTGCCTGTGGATGGGGAATGTCTGGCGTGGAACTCCCTGGCGAGCCGATGGCAGATGTGCAGACATCGTCCATCTGCACGTCGAAGGAAGAACAGAGCCCCTGAGCCGCGTCGGGTGAGAAGGCAGGTACATTTTATTTTACACAGAAGTAACTGCACAATATTGTACAACAAACTGAGGAGCATGTTGACAGCCTCCCCTCCGGGGGAGCCCAGCAGTTAGTCCCATGTGCGGTGGACACACCTTTCCGTGCTCTGCACTTCCCACGTCCCTCATCTCCGCCGACACCCGCTTCCCACCGGGCTCAGTGTGAGCGTAGGCCCTGCTCGATACGAAACATCAACCCCCAATTCTGCCTCAGCTGTCCCACCAGCCACATGCCCTTCCATGCCCCCTTATAGTCCTCCACCCCATGTCCTTCGGCTTCCTCTGGTCAGTGCTCCCCCCAGGGTAGAAGTGCATCACACTGGGTGCTGCCTCGCCCGCGGGGAACTTTATTGAGATACACACAGACATACACAGACACAGTACAGATATTTGGTTGTCTCTGACACTCCCACAGGGCTGGCGCCGCTGTGGGTGACACGCATGGAGAACCTTAACACGTAAAGCAAAGGTACGAAAAATAAAACTCTTTTCATGGTGGTCATCCCGGAAACGGCAGGGAGGCGGGTTCACCCAGGCGGGCACATGGACACGGCTCCACACATAGTACATTGGCTCTGGATAAGCGTCGCCACAGACATTGTGTCGATAGAAATATACAACAGTCTCGTAAGTCAGCAAGGAACAAAGTCAGAGCGGTACTGAGGTGAGGCAGCCTCGCCTTGCGAGCGAGTTGAGCCACGGTCCACGTACCAACGTAACTTTGTTCAAAGGTGGAAGGGGAACAGAAACGTGGTTCCAACAGACATTCGCACCATCCACTACAGAAACCCCCATGAATGCAACAATGTTAGAAAAGGAAAATTCAGCTTGGGGCGCTGGTGACAGGTTATTCAACACCAGCTCCTGCAGCTTTGTTATCACCATAACTCCTGAGGAGGGTTATATGTTTGCTTATCTATAGAGCTACAGCTAGCTTTCAACATCGATTGTATACACAGTACATAGACACAGAACATACACAGCTCACAACACGTTTACCGAGGTGGTGTGGTGTTAGTACAGGATATCACAGAGCATGTGAACACACAGAAAATATGTACGTGGACCTGTAAGAAATCATTTTATAAAATCGTTGTATTACCAACCACCCCCCTCCCCACAAAGAAAGCAAAAGCACAAAGCCTGGGCGTCACTGGGATCCACACACATCCCCGCTATGGAGAGGCACTGCCTGCCCCCGTGGCGGCGTGACAGACCGCTCTGTCCCCCCATACAGGCAGCAGCAAGAGGGGCAGTTCACACCCACTCACCCAGAGAGCGCGACGCAGCACGAGGTGTCGGATGCAAACTCCGAGTGGCGTCTGGACACGCTAACCCTGCCCCCGCTCCCGTGAGACGCTGCCGGTGGCGTAATATTTAACCTGCCACAAGAGGGGCCAGACTCAGCCGACCGGCTCCAGTCCAGGACTGCTAGCTCCCAGCACTGGGAACCCAGCTTGTGAGTTAGAGCTGTTTGTTTAATACAATCTTTTTATTTAGCAAAAAATTGTTTCCACTGTACCCTTGACGTGTCCTCTTCCTAACGTGACAAAGCCGGAGGAGATGAAGTTATGGAGATCTGGCCCTCCGCTTCGATAGAGATCCTTCCCATAGTGACCTGCCAAGGCAAAGGAGAACAAGCGTGGCATTACTCTGCATCGCCATTACACTGGGAATCTGCACCAGCCGCGGCCTCCTGCTGCCAGGAGACCTGAGAGCTCAGCGCAAAGGGGTCCAAGCACAACGCGCGTCGCGTGCCAGCTGCAGAGGAAGGAAGCTGCCGGGGTTGACGGGGGCCTAGGAGTTACCGATCGGAGAGGTTCAAAACCCCAAACCCTGCACTCAAGCCCCCAGACTCGAGGGAAACGGGCTCGTCCCTCTTCCGCGAGTCAGCAGCGCAAGGCCGGACATGCGAGCAGGAGCAGAGCTACGTGGACCTTCCCCACGGAGGAGCCGGGCTGGGACTCGGGGGAGGAGCAGCTCCGGGGCCACGGAGGCTGGGGGAACCGCACGCTCGCCACGGCTCACGACCATACGGGCTTCTGCTCTCAAATACGCTGAGTCTCCGGCTTGTCTCACTGAATGTGCTGGTGCAGCCACATCCCTCCTGGGGGTGACAAGTCCACCCTGGCCTCACCCCGGCGTAGGCAGTGTTGGGTCAGTGCAACCTAGCTCCTGCCCGTCTGGGAGGTGGATTGTCTCCAGCAAGGGAGGTCCCCTCCCGTCACAGTAAGGGTCTCCTGGGAAGTGCTACAGCAGCTGAAGTCACCGTGGCCTCCAAATTAGAATCTGCGCGTGTCTCTCCCTGCTCTCTAGCCTGGTTTCCCTGGCCCCCCTGGAGGTCTGGCAGGAGAACCTGCTGTTCAGCTTTGTTCTAGCTGAGCCAAAGATGCACCACTGGACGAGGGGGCCCCCGGCCCCTGCCCAGAAACGGCAGGAATAGACCCGATCCCCCACCCACCCCCGACATTTGCTGCCTATTTAAGGCCAAGAGAGCCTGCCTGAGCCTTCCTGGAGCCACCTGTCGCTCTGACACCAGCCAAAATCAGCACCTGCCTCTCCCCTGCCATTGATCCTCCCGCTCCTCTTCGCGAGCAGAGGCCCAAGCGAGACTGTGGCCGGGCCGGGAGGGAGCAGGGCTGAGGGGGGCAACAGTTCTCTTTTTTGTCTGCATTGGCACTGGCACGCTCAGAGCGACAGGCAGATCTTCCCCATGTCTACGGGGAGAGCAGAGAAATGCCCACAGGTGCTATTACATACAACGGGTGGCTGATTTATCATCGCCTTTGGGAAACCGGGTCAGAGATCAAGCAGCGAAAGCACGTGAAATGGCACAGACTGCCTGGCAGATTAGAAGATGGTTTGCTAGTTTGTTCTCTGACCCTTGCCATCGCCTCGTGGGTACGACGAAGGAGTTAAATCCAGTTTCCCCTGGTAACAAACCAGCATCTGCACAGACAGGGAATGTCTAGACTGCATCCCTCTGTTGGCAGAGGGATGCAGATTAGGCAGGTCGACATTGCAAATGAGGCAGGGATTTAAATATCCCGTGCCTAATTTGCATAAAAATGGCCGCCACGTTTTGCCGACTCAGCACTTTGTCGGGAAAAAGCAGCAGTCTAGAGGGGGATCTAATGACTAAAGAACGCCTTTTTCCACAGATCCTGTAAACTCCTTGCAGGAGGCATAAGGGATCTGTCGAAAAAGGCGTTCTCTCTCGACAGATCCCCCTCTAGACTGCCACTTTTTGCCAACAAAGTGCTGGGTCGGCAAAAATGACGGCCTTTTTTATGCAAATTAAGCGTGGGATATTTAAATCCCTGCCTCATTTGCAAAGTCGACCTGCCTAATCCGCATCCCTCTGCCGACAGAGGGACGCAGTCTAGACATACCCCCTGTGACCTAGCAGCTCAAACCCAGACAGCAAGGAGAACAG